TTGCTTTATCTGCCTAGAACCACAGCTCCCAAGGGAAATACTCTGTCTCATTTTGGTTGCAGCAACAGCAGTCAAATTAAAATATAACCCAGGGGTAACCTACCCAACTTGGGCAAATCATAGCACCCTCCCTCTGGCTATAACTTTTTCTACTTTGAATAGCATACAAATGCCTGGTAGGGCCTCCCATACATATTTTTAATCTCTATCTGCCTCACTGCCTCTAATTCATTTCCTACCTTTCTCCTATTTGCTTACTAGGTTCTAGCGGTCCTGGCTGTCTAATACTCTCAGCTCATTGATTTTGTACCTTTCATCCTCTCTGCCTGCTATATAGTTTTTCCTGATTTTTTGATGGCTGGTTTCTCCTCATCATTTGGGACTCTATTCAGATACCATCTCAGAGAAATATTCTCATATCTCTAATGTTGACCTTCACTACTCCACCTCATCATGTGCTACCCATTACCCTGCTTTAATTTAGTACTATTTGAAATCAGCTCATGTATTTATCTTATATATTATTTTATCAGCTCATGTATTTATCTCATGGTCTTGCCTCTCAAATGCTTATCATAAATTTTAACACATTTATTGCCTGTTTATCCTCCCTAGAATGTAATATCTTGTCTATCTGTTTCACTGCCAGATTCCCAGTACCCAAGACAGTACCAGACACATAGAGTAATCTCAAAATATTTCTGATTGCACCATCTGGGGGATGGTCAAGCTGGAAACTCAGACTTGTGGGGGCAGGGGGGGGAAAGGGCATTTATTGAAACCTTAAAATTTGTACCCCCATAATGTGCCGGAAAAAAAAATAATAAAAAAAAGGAAAAAAAGGAATGAATTAATGATTGCTATAGAATAGCTTTAGGCAATGACCTAAAGCTGGCCAGTTTTTCATCCCCACAATTTGCGGGGTTTGTGATCAAAAGTGAGTTAAGTTCATCTCTTTTTGGGTATTGGGGTGCTTGGACTAAAAGATACAAAACTCGCAGTAACTGTATTTTCCATTATATGAATGGAAGTAAGCCAGGAAAGGGTGGAGGAGGTCTGAGGGAACACGTAAGGGTGGTAGGAGTGGGTGAGGTGGTAGAAGCAGAGGTGGAGCTGAGTTTGGTCAGTGTTTATTCACTAGTTCCTGATGTTCCTAAGGTCCAGCTACATTCCTGGCTTTGGTTTCTATGAAATATCTCAGAGTCCTTTCTATAATTTTTAGGTAGATAGTGAGGGATTCGAGTCTCCTAGGGATGAAAGTGGGTGCTGTTGCCCCCTTCTTGGTCCTGCCCAACCCTAATTCTCTATACCTGGGGGAGGAGGGAGTACCCTATGAGCCTGCCAATCAGAACTTGGTGCTCCAGTTGCAAAAGAATGCAGAAGACTCTCTAGATCACAGGGCGAACCACATGGGTACCATAAAGTCCGGAAAGTGACCTAGAACCCACATGCACAGTAAGGCTCAGGTCACGCAGCTCCCCAACTGTCCAAAGCGGTTCCATGGTGACATTTAAACCACAGAGAGGTCCCTATCTGGACACCATAAAACATGACCTAGACCATAACCAAGTCTCTTTTTCTGCTGTGACGAGGGGTCTGGTTGTCATCTGTGGCGTATATATCATGCTTTGTAAAACCTATGTCTTGCTCTTGCTCTATAATCCTATCTTGCTCCCCCTCAATAAACTTCACTTCATGCTTGCCTTACTTTGGTGCATCTGGTCATTCTTTGGCCATGAGCGCACTAAGAACCGACATTCCAGACTAAAACCTGACATAAATTCTGCTTTTTCTTAAACTAATATGAATTGGGTTTCAATCCTTTGCAAGCAATAAAAATACTATAACAACATGTAACAACATTAAAACATTATGATTAAGAACTTAAAATTGGGTGCACAATTAGAGTTTAAATCAAGATTCTGCTATTTATTATCTGTATCCTATAAAACCAATTTCTTAATCTCTTCAAATTTTAGCTTTCCTATTCAAAAAAGTAAATAAATAAATAGGAGAAGAACAATAATAGAACCTACCTGATAGAACTATTGGAAAGATTAAGTGTAATATATATGCAAAGTTTTTAGGCACAATTCCTGGTATATAGTACGTTTCTAATTGAGAAATTTCAGCATTGACAGCCTGGCCCAAAGGTGAAAACCTGCTTCCAATTGGTATTTCAGACCTACCCTCATTGATGTATCTTACTTTAGTTGGCATATTCTGCATTCATGTTTATTTTAGAATATTTTCTAAACTCTTTATGATTAAGATATATTTAGGGTTGTATTTCTTGACCTTCCTCTGTGAAAATTTCCATACATCTCATTTTTGATATATCAGTTTCTATTAGATGTTCAGGGTGGGACATTCATCAATGAACAAAATACTTGCTATTAAGAAACTGGGGAAATGATGATATAGACTGATCCTCTTCTAAGTGTAGCTTGGCAAGTGCCAGGTATCTGAGTCTAGGAATAATAAAGTAAATTCACAAGATCAGATTCTGGAGGATAGATTGCCAAAGCTCACCCCTCCTGCTGCTCTTGGTAGTGGTTCTTATTGCTTATTTTAGGATGTGGGCTGTTACAATAAGGAAAAAAGAGCTGCACATGAACATGAAAGTTGGAGAGAGACTTAGACTAGATCAACCTTTGTGAGAGAGGCTTGTGATACCACTTTGCCGCTGCTCCCACAGTATAGGCCTATAGCCTAATATCTACTCTGCAAAAGTCCTGTCAATCAGCTTTGCTGTCACCACATGAATAAGCTCGATGAGCCCAACAACTGGGCATGGTGGCAGGGATGTTTGAGGAGGAGAGGCATGTCCCAGGACCAATCTAAAATTCTAGGAATCATGGATAATAAGATAAACAAATATAGCAGAGAGTAAAATTCAAGTCTGTAGTTAACTAGTATGTCCTAAAGATGTATCATATCTACCAATAGTAAAAAAAAGAGAGATTTCATAAAAGTTTTGTAATATGAAATAAAAAGTATATTAGCAGAAAATTTCTAAAACCTGTACGTAACTTAATGATAAATACTGATTTAAAAAAAATGTTGATATTTTGAATACATTTCTTTACCTGAACCAAAATTGTAATTCAGAATCTGCATAGTGGCAGAATAGAATCTCTAGTGGGCTTGCAATTCCCAGGCGAGATTTAGGAAGAGATTATAGGGAAGGAGAAAATATGCAAGAATGAAAGATTAAGTATTTTCTAATATAGTACATCAGAGTACGTTCATAGGAGATTAAAAACTGTTTTTCTGCCAAATTTTGGATGTGGATTTCAGAAAAAAGACCAGATTATGGATACTACATTTTCTGTTTATATCCAAGTTGTTGTGTGTGGAATTTTGTGATTCTTTTAATCTAGCAATAATCAGGTAAAAATGTAATTTAAACACTTTACCATAATTTTTACAAAAATATAAACTTATAAGAAGTACATTTACAACTATTTATGGACCCTATATGAAAATTTGAATGTATGAAGAGACAATGTTGTTATATAAGGTCAAATATTGTACATTGGTTATTAAAATCATCCACATATTATTGATATAAACAAAAGTATTGATGGATCATTGAGTATTATTTTAATACCCTATATGAATTATTTATTTCTTCTAGAAATTTTTAATTACCTTTATATTATTTTTTAAATCTGCTTATTGTATTTTCACATTTTTTGTTTTCTTACTCTTGCAGAATATTAAAGATGTTTTCCCTTTAAAAAAGATTTAGTTCTGTGATTTACTTGTTGATATTACAATTTCTCTAATTCAACTAAATTTGTTTTCCTTTTGTTCCTAACTTTTGTCTTTGCTTTATTATAGTCCACTTAAATTTCTGAGATAAAGAATTGATTTCTTTATATTTCAGTTTAATATACTAAATGTTAAAGCCTATGAGTTTGTCTCTGAGAACAGCTTTGGTAATATATCAGTGTTAAAATATGGTACTGTAATGTTAGTAAGTTCCTAAATAGCCTACAGTTATGTCTTGAGTTTCTCATTTGTCCCAACAGTTCCTTCTCTATTTCTATTTATTAAGGATATTATGGGGTTACAAACATTTTGGTTATATGTAACGCTGTTTGTCCTATCCAAGACATTACAAGGGTATCTCTCCCTCATACAGTGTGTTCAGCTTCCATTAGTTGTGGGTTCATCCCCTCCCCCTCCACTGACTGGCACCCAGCGAGTATTACTACCATGTGAGCACCTTAGTGTTGGTCAGTTGGTACCAATTTGATGGTGAGTACATGTGGTATGTGTTTTTCCATCCTTGTGATACCTCACTTGGAAGGATGGGCTCAATCTCTGTCCCAACAGTTCTTAAGGGAAATGGTTTGCTTATTTAAGTGTCACTTTTGTTTTGTTGTCTTTTAAAAATATTTTGGGGAGTATTTTTATGAAACATTTATTTTTAGTACTATTAAATTGTGACCACATGTGATTTCTGTTGACTTTGTTATTGTTGTTGTTCTTAACTAATACTGGTTTATTTTTATAAATAAACTATAGATCCTTGAAACAAATGTATAGTTTCTGTTTGTAGGGCATAAGACTTTATAAATATTCATTGTTAACTTTTCCTTTTATTTCCTTAGTTATTTAAATTATATTATTCTTCTTTGGTGATTTGTTAGTAATACATAATGTTTATATTTTATATTTATTTTATATGTTCCTTTAAAATATCTGCATACATTCTTTATACTTTATACTGTGTCATTATCAAAGCCAAGAATGAGGCAGCATAGATGGTCCCTTCCAGATAAGATGCAAATGTTGATATACCTTTCCTTCTATACCCCTTCTATTCCACCTCTTATCATCCACATTCCCTTTCTAATTTTTGTCAATATAATATATATATTAATACCAAATCATTATTGGTTTTTAAATCCTTTTATGGACATTTAAGTCGTTTACTTTGCCAGTGATTTTTCATAGTTTTATTCTTTCTAAACACTATATAAACTTACCTTTATGTTTGTTCATCACTGTGTTCCTATCGCTTGCCCAGTGCCTGGTATGTCATATGCTCTCTGGAATTCTGGTTAGGGAACCACTGCAGAAGAACAGGAGAAAGAAAATAAGAACAAAAAACAAGTGAAACTGTAACTCCTGTGGTAAGTATTGCATCAGTAAGCACATGATACCACCGAAGATATTACCTTCAAGGTTATGATAAATCTATAGAGTGGATTTCATCAGGATAATCCCATCTCTGCATGGTCAAAACCCCATAAATACCCACTAATTGGAACAAAGACTTTACTATATGGTCATATGGTCATATTCTTGGGATGTGAGATGCATAAACTAAGTTCATTGCTATTAGCTCTTTTAATAAATTCACCTATAAATACTGTAAACAAACTCAGCTGCATGTTGTAGTCACATGGGAAGCTTTTTAAAAGATCTCAATGACCTGAGTACTCACCAGACCAATTAAATCCAATTTTCTCTGGTTGAGACCCAGGCAACAGTATTTTCTAACGCTTCTCATGGAAGTGCAGAGTGTAGCCAAGCCTAAGAACACAGGAAAGCGAATGGAGTCTAAACCTTGAATCTAGTTATACGTTATACGTGTGGATATAATTCAATATAAGAAAGATCCTTTTTGGATACCTAAAAAATGATCCTGGGAAACATAGTTTTCTTTGGGGCTAAGATAAACACATACGAATGATACAAAATCACCTGTGTATCATTGTCTCCTCATTTGCGACACGCGGACAAATGGAGTGTCCAGCTCTGTTTTGGAGTGAGGGTGGATACAATAAGAATTAGTGAGATAGCTCAGTTAAAATCAGCATGAAAAACAGATGATAACCTTATGTTTCAAAATTAAAACCATTGGTTTGGGCTCTCTTCTGCAGGAAAATTTGAAGTTATATCTTTAATATTGGGGTCCTGTAATCTTTGTCCTTATTTTTAGGCATGATTATTACACATATGTTTCCAGATTTTATGGAGCCTAAAACATTTCAGTTCAGAAAAGGGAATGGATTACCTAATTTTGAAGTTTCCCTCAATAGAGCCAAAAAATTATTCACTCAGGAAATGCCCTTTGAATACCATTGTTACTATAACAATCATAATGCTTGATTTGGGTTAAGAAACAGATAAAAAACAAAACCAAATAAACTGAAGTCATATGTGAAATTTTGGTGGCATTTTATTATTAGCATCTTCCTAAACACATTATTAGGTGGTAAATTAGCAAAACCATCCAATCTTTGGTTAACATTGCTACACAATGAAGAGAGCCAATTAGTTATTTTATATATATATGATAACAAACAATCTTGGTTTCATTGCTTTTTTTAATTTAAAATTTTTTGAGCAGAATCAATTAATTTACTAAACACACTCAGAGCTCTTAGGAAAGAGATAATGCGTACAGATAAGAATAAGCTAAATTAGCTTTGCAGAGCTGAAACCTCTAATTATTTTTGGCGTCTTCCTTGCTAGGTAAATTATGAAACTGGTAATATCTATTCATTTTATTATTTGTGGTGTTGTTTCTAAACATGTTGTTATAAATACGCCTAATGCTTGGCAGATAGTCTTAATTTAGATTTCTTTGTAAAAAATTCTAGATTTCTAAAGATGACTAGCTTGATTGAAAATACCAAGTAGAATAGGATCCTTGGGTTTTCATCTTACAGAAAAATAATCAAGAAGACAATGTGAGTTAAGTGTCTTATTTAGTGATTTTCACAGAGTCCAGTGGTTCCCAAGTGGTGGACCTGGACCAGCCATATGAGCGTCCCTTGGGAATTTTAGAAATGCAAATTCTCAGGCTCTACCCAGCCTTACTGAACAGAGACTCTGAGGTTGGAGTCAAGCAACCTTTGTTTTAATAAGCCCTCTCTATGATTTTATTACTCTAAAGTTTGAGAAACTCTTACACAGTAGAGGTACTTAAAAGAAAACACTTGTTTTATTATGTTATTTATCTGTATTAAAAGATATTAATATTTGGTGTGGAATTTCATTTTTATCTCCAGCAGAAATAATCAGGGTACCTACCATCCTATTATGTTTTTCCATTACATGTCAAAGATGCATAACTGGTTTGCAACATCTTTCAACATACAGTTAAGTGATCATTAATTCCTTACATTTGCTTTCAAAAATTCTTTCAAGCAGCAGAGTGTTAGATTTCACATGCACTTTACTTACCTCATTGAGATAATGTTACTGTAATGATCTCACTTATATGTTGCATAATTAGATCTAATATCTCTCTAATGAGATACACCATGTTATTTGGAACCAGCTGTTCTATCATGGATAGCAAAGGACATTGCTCACTAAATTTTCCAAAGCACTCAAAAATAATAAAAGTGGCCATTTTGGAAAATTATTTTTATTTCCTTTCTTTAAGGATCTAGTTCTTTTTGAATTGATATTAATATTTACAATAGCTCAAAAAACTAAGCGAGTCAGCTGGCTTTGGCAGGAAACATAGTGTGTAAAAATTGCTAAGCTAGGAGAATAAAGACTCTCAGTTATTACAATAAAAGAGCAAATTAAGGCTATAGACCAGTTTGCTCTAACATCCCTGCATTTGTACATTTATAGCATATGTAAAGTTTTTATAGTTTGAGAAATCTTTTCCATATGAATATATTCATTTATTAAAAAGAGTTGCAAGTAGTCTTAAGAATGTGATAGTCATGTTTTCAGTAACTGCTAATGTATATTCAATAAATATGAAACAGAAGTAAGTCAGTGTATATGTATATGTGTGTGTGTGTGTGTGTGTGTGTGGCTTGCTTCATGGGTTATTCACTCATAAAAATATTCATGTGCATTTTTAACATAGATAAATGAATACATAATAGACCTATGTAGATATACAAAGTGAGCTGTGTGGAGGCATAGCCACTAGTTTACATTCAATAGTATTCTCATCTCCCTGCTCAATGTAAATACATAAGTATTTATCTAAACTGTATTTGCTTGTTAATGAAACCAGAGCATGCAGCATTTTACGAAAGTGTGGTGAATTAATGGATAAGATTACTTCACCTCCCTCCAGCCTGAATCTCTACAGAAGAGGAAATTAAGGGAGACAAACTGAACTGTGATGCTCCAGGACTCCCTTGAATCTGCCTGTCACCATTTTTAAGCCGGCTCAAGGCCTCGGGGGAGTCTGGCTGTTCTAGCCTTCCTCAGCCAGCCAGACGGTAACGGTCCACTGCTTTTATTCATTACCCTGAATGTAATGCACTAAATTTAACAAGTAACACACTCAGCGGGAATTTATTGGCCTTTTGCAGCATGATTGCAAGGTAGGATATGGATATGGATTCCAATTACTGTTGACACCCAGATAAGAAGAACAAAGCCTGTATATAATTATTAATCAAAGTTGATATTTGGGGGGAAATGAAAATAAATAAATAAATATCTCGATACTGTGTGAAACCAGCACTCCCAGGTTTAAAGAACTCTCCCTGGTTACACAATAGCATAACAACTAAATATAGCAATAATAAAATAGCAACACATAAAGGCAAAGTGCTCCTATAAAGCAATAATTTTCACAAGAAAATAGAAGCATGCAGCAGTTGTTTAGTAGAGGGAAGGCTAACAAATTCCAAACAGAGACTCATGTGTAATATGTAAATAAATGGTCAAATAAACAGTAATCTCTAAAAAAGGATTTAACATTTTAATTAGAAAAAAATAATCCATGTAATATTGTTATTCCAGAAGGTAATTATATACAGATTTATTAAAATGTGGTGGAAGTGATTTTTTAAAAATATGTTATTATGTTTTCATATGTACAGTGCTGGAGTTACCTGATCATGACAATTATTGTTGGCATATAGATATTTATGATGAACCTCAAAGTCCTCTGATTGCAATAGGAAAGTAGGAGGAGCCAGAATGGTTAACTCACTTCAGGCAAGGGTTTGCTGTTGTTATTGTTTGTTTTATTTATAAAGTCCATAAAAGCATAATAAATGTAAAGGCATAGGCGAGAGAGCATTATTTTATTTTATACCACTTTATGTGTATGAAAAATGTTGAAGAATATGTCATATGAAAACGAAATGAGAACATCACCTCTACATGGTTAACCCAAATGACCAATTTAAATTATTGAAAAAAGGTGCATCTCTAGTAAAGGCTTGAGCCCTCACATTACACAGAGTCATATCCTGGTTTTAATAATTACCAGCTTTCTGACCTTGAGCCATTAATTTAATCTCTCTTAGACTATTTCCTCTAGTATAAAAGAGGGACAATTACAGGAGCTGCCTGCATTGTCACACTAAAATAAAATAATTTCAGTAAATTACTTAATATAGTGCTGGGTACAAAGTAAATACTCAACAAATATTAGCAATTTTATGTTATTTCGTATTATTTTAACCTACCCAATATTAAAATTCATTAAACCAGGAAGCAAATTTCATCCTAACCTTTCTTTCATATCTAGATATGCTTCATTATAAGTTTGAGTTCAAATAATTTAATGAAAGGAAAGGATATTTTATCTCCTACTGGATTAGTTTGGACTTGAGAGTCATAGTTTTATAGTACAGTCTTGTCACATAACTATGTAAAGCTAAATTGTATCTCCAATACTCAGCATGTCTAATGTCTAACAGTGGTCTGCCGATACCTGCCTCTGAGGCTGTGTGGGGAAATTGGAGAAAATGTGCATGTATAAGTATGTCCTTGAAACTCAGCACATGGCCTGACACCATCCAAATATGGAGATATGTATTATTAGAGATCTATAGAGAGATCCTTGTGTTTAATAATCAGTGCAATTTCTCCATGTATCTATCATTCCCATTATGCAGCAAGCAAAATGAAGGATGAAACATGCTAATTGGTCTTTTCAAGACCTCAAGGTTAATAAAAAGGTAGAGCAATAGCCTCACTCATCCTAGGTCAAAGTAAGTGACCACAAGCCAGTGTCCTTTATAATTCAGTAACTTCCCTCAGTAGGTAAGAAGATAAAAGTGGATAACTGAAAAAATGTGTATGTGTGTGTGTGTTTGTGTGTTTATATATGTATAAGAGGCATACGTGCTTTATAGTGATAATCGGCACACAGTTTGCGTTTTAAACAGAGTAGGTAAATGAAAATCATCTATGTTATGCCATGGTTTTCTCTGCATTTCCCAAAAATGTCATGGAGTTTACCTAATTTAGGCCTTACATATTTGGAATACTGAGATAAAATTATCTATAGGGGTATAAAAGAGGACTTTTATGACAATGTCACCTACTAGTGTTTTGGGGGGCTCAGTCTTCAAAAGGCCCATAAACCCAAAGGAAGCAATTAAATAATATGCATTCTGTTAAATTTAGGGAATCCCAGCATAAAAATGACACGATTATTTAAACTAAACAATTTAGTTTCAATTAACCAAAGCTAACCAATTAGTTAGTTAGTTTAACCAAAACCAACAAATAGTATCATATTATACATATGAGTCTTTTTTTTTTTTTTTTTTTTGAGTTCTGTCATTATACCAGAACAGTTTTTATTTCATGGTACATAGAATCCTCATGTAAAAACTGTTCATGTAACTTAACAATTAGAGACCAAGTGTTCTGAATCAGAGAAACATGAATAATATATGATATTTTTAAAAATTAGAGAAATTAAACAAAATAGTACCTTAAGTAAATCATAAGTAAATGTGTACATTGAAGGAAATTCACTCATTCAGTCAGTCATTCTTTGGTGATTTGTTAAGTGCTTCCTCTTGGCTAGTTTGGCTAGCCCTGAGGATACAACACGAAATCAGATAGATGAGGTCACTGGCATTATAGGTGCTTAGATTCTATTAGTGAAGAAAGATATGAAATAATCATATAATTACAATTTTAATGAGGGTGTTGGCTGCAATGGAAGCCTATTAATAAATGAGAATTTAAACCTTCTCTTGGGGAGGGGATCAGAAGGGTCTCATTTCTCTCAACCGTCACACCAACCCAGTGAGATGAGTACTGCTACAATCACTTCATTTACAGGAAAGAAAACTGAGGGGAAAAAAGGCATTAAATACCTTAACAAATCATATAGCCAGTAAGGGGTAGACCCAAGATCCAAAACCGGTCTGTCTGGTTTTAGATTCTTCTCTTAGCCATTAAGCTATAGTTCGTGCCATTTATGAGAGGATAATGAGAACACACTTCAGATAGAAGTAAGGCACCTAGGAAGAACCTGAGGTGGAGAAGAACTTGATACTCTAGACTAGGACAGGACTGCTTGCCAGAAATGTGAGAAATTGCATATGTAATTTTATTTCCTAGTAGCCACATCAAAAATAAAAAAAGTAAAAAGAAATGGGTAGGTACAGCCACTCTGGAAAACAATCTGGCAGTCTTATGAAACTAAACATGCAGTTATCCTATGGCACAGCAACTGGACTCTTGAGCATTTACCCCAGATAAATGAAAACTTATGTTCACATTAAAACCTGTACAGGAATGATTATGGCAGCTTTATTTATAATAGCCAAAGCTGGAACAAACCCAGGTGTTCTTCAATGGGTGAATAGTTAAATATTAACTATGGTATAACCAAACCATGAAATATTCAGCAAATAAGAAAAATGAACTACTGATTTTATATACATATACATGTATGTATACCAATAGCTTGGATCAACAACTTGGATAAATAACTTGGATGAATCTTCAGAGAATTATGCTAAGGGGAAAAAAGCAATCACAAAAGGATACATACTGTATGATTTCATTTACATAACATTCTTCAAATGATAAAATTATAGAAATGGAGAACAGACTAGTTAGTGGTTGCTAAGGCTCAGAGCTAGGAACAGGGATGGGGCACAGGAAGGAGATGTGGTTGGTTATGAAAGGGCAATCTAAGGGATCTCTGTGATGAAGGAACAGTTCTGTATTTTCATGTGGTGGTGGATACAT